GTTATCAATTCCTTCATACCTGTATCACTGAAATCTATGAATTCTTTCGATAGAAGATTAGTGAGCAGCTCCATAATAAGAAGGAGATCCTGGTACTGGTCTTCTTCTGCTGTAACATCTATCCGTTGTCGACCTAGATTATTCTTGGAATACACCTGGAGCAGAGTGAGGCAGGCCTCATACAAGTTCATGGCTTTGGCCTATAAAACAATGTTAGATAATAAGAAAACTTCCATATGCTGGAAGTGACACTCTTTGTTTTAAGATGGCGTTACTTGGTTGATGATACCTCGAGATTTTCATTTTGGTTATATAAGCACTTTTCGTAGCAACTGCACACAAAATCATCAAGGATACAGCCACTTTAAACAATAAAGGCCACTTACAGCCATATATTGATGTGCTACTGATTGAGACAGCAGAACACCACTTTTGCCAATTCCTCAATCTTAACCCAAAAAAAGACAAAAGTGGCTCGAGACATGCTGACCCATCTCACTAAGCTCACAAACTAGATTACCAACAAAATCCCCTGAGGACTCACTTCAGCCACCAAAGTTTGGAGCCACAAAACACTGCTTATGCATACCCAGTTTGGAATAAGCAGGAATCCTTCTAGATGCGAAAGCAAAATTAACCAACAGAGCAAAGATGTAAGTGTGCTGCACTGGCACATTTTACACGTTAACTTCTTGGTATCTATCAATGCCTTGTTTAGGGCCAAGGCAGTGTCTCTATGGTATACACTTGTCACATAAAACAGGGCTGCAATCCTCCTACAGTGGCCTTCAAAGAAGTTTGATATTGTTAAAAAAAAATAAATAAATACTCAACACAGTCTGCACTCTTTTGCTACCCATGCATAGGAGTTAGACTAGTGATGAGTTGTGGTTAAGTTTATTGGTATAAGAACAGTCTAGATGTCCTGCTTTTAATCTCTGCAAGTGTATGTTTTTAAACAAAGGAAGTCCTCTAACAGATCTGACCACATAGCATTTCTTTCTCTATAGAATCTAAAAATCACTACACTTTATTTTGTTTAAGGGATAGCACTGTATACACATGTACACACACACATACTCTTCCCCTCCTCCCCCTCCTGGTTGTATTTACCTCTCCAAGATAGCAAATTTGTTTATGTGCAACTTCAACAAAGACTTCTATTATGAGATTAACAGTCTCTGGTGTGTTTTTGTATACTTCCATTAATCCAATGCAATTATTAAGGAAGTCCATTAGGAAATTGAAGAGAATTGCTACGTTATCAATCTGGGTAGCCTCAGCAATGCCACAAAGCGCTTCTAATGTAGCAGTGATCTCCTGTTTCACTTCCTCCTCCTGACAGATCTGCTGAAAGTTTTCTTGGTTTATCACATTCAAGAATCGCTGCTGAAGTGGCTGAAGAACCTTGAAATTTTTTAGAAAAGTCACATTAAGATAAGCATACTATTATATGAGATATGAGGTTTAAGTAATTTAGTAAGCTCGTGGGCTGCTTTTGGCACGGCAGTACAAGAATCAATAACTTCCAGTTTCCAACAGCTCAATTACGTTATTATCGGTTCACATCAATGTAAGCTGAAGTGGTAGTGATTAGTGATCCTCATTATCTGTCATCACTTGCAGGCTGGTTTCAAGATCAGCACCTCCATAAATATTTTATGTTATTTTGTAGTGTTTAAACAAATGACAACAATTTTCTCTGGCTCACACTATTTGATTCTCTTCCAAATTCAGTATTAGGGGAAAAAGATTGTTACAGTTCATCAATGAAAGCATTAAGATTCATGTTCACAATTATCTTTGTCATATTATGATTCTCAATAGCACAACCTCTTTTGTAATTATAAAATGGTTCCAAACATCGCTAAACTTCTATAAAAAATAGTGAATTGTTTTTCCCAATTACTTCCAGTGCATTATAGTCTCACCTTCAATCACTAATTTTATAGCTTTGCTAATAAAAGCAAGGTTCTCTCAGAAGGCCAATGCTTTACAAACTCATGTGGTGCTTCCCGATCACATTTCAGCCACTTTCTAGCACCAACCTTTCTGATATTAAATACTTGAGCTTTAGTGGAGCCAGAGCACAAAAAGCTGGTCCAGGCTCTTCATTACATGAGCTTTTTACTCACTGTCATTATTATTAAGCGAATAATTGCATAATTCATAACACTACCAAATTAAAATGAAAGGAAGAAATGACACAGTTCCAAGGGAAATTCTTAACATTTTATAATAGTCTCTTTCAAGCGTACTGCTATAGTGGCTCTGTCATGAATCCTTCAGGTAATTATTAGTTGTTTCTCTTTAGGTGGTGATGTTTTAGATAGAATTTTTGGCAGCTCATGGGTGCCATACAATTACTGACCTTCAAAGAGAGAGTAATTAAAAAAATTATCAATATCAAAACCAACAGATTCTGTACAAGTTAATTTTGTGTCACCATAAAATTCCCTAAACTAACTTGTTTGTACTACTTGCTAAAATGAAGGTAACAGAAGCATCAAAATAGCTTACCTCTGTCCAGTATTGTTGCTTTGTTTCCGTATCCATATGAGCAAAACCTCCTAAAACTAAGGCTTTCATTAGTGTTCTCTGCACAGAACTGGACAAATAGTGAAGAGGAGGGCTTCGCCTTGCAAATTGCTTAGCTAAATTCCACCAATTTTCACACTGAATAACTAAGTTTGCCCTAAAAGAGGGAAAAACAGTTTAATTAAAGACTTGACAAAATTGCTTGAACAGAGGACATCAGGTTGCTAGCAGTTGTCAGAAGATTATGTTTTTTAAAAAAATTATTTTATTCTAAGGCTAAATCGCCTTTTGACTTTCATCTTATTAATACCTCACCTCTAAGATTTCTAAAGTATAGACTCTGAAAATAGCTCAATTCATAGGCGAGAAAAGCAGGGAAGTGCTTTAGTTTTACACACATACACACAAAGAGTTAATGGACATATTGCATGGATTAAAAGCTTAGTCTCATTATGTGATGACAATATAAGCAGTTTATTCCAAAACTAGCTCCTGTGGGTTTAAGAAGAAAATTCCTGAAGTGTTTAAATCCTCAAACTTCAGAACAGTCTTTCAGCAGACTGTGAACGCATGATTGCAAGTATAATTGCAGGTCAATTTACAAAAGTAAAACATTCAAGAATTTTCTGCTTCACTGTTTGTAATACCAAAGAAAACTTTGTAATTTCTCTGAATCCACCAAATCCTGGATTTGTTTTTTTAATAAATTTTGTATGTTTACAAAACACATTTTTTGTGTTTGGCTTAGCCAGTATCGGAACTGTTAATCCGGAAGAACTTGTTCAACAAAAATAAACAACAATGCAAAAATCCTTGCAATAAGAGTGGAGACCAGGAGAGTTTTGCTTTCTCACTGTTTTAAGAGTGAGGCACAAAGGTAAGGGAAGGAGAGTGCATTTCTAAACAATAGTAAGAATTAGGCTATGTTTTGTCAAATATAGGTCTCACTCCTCACTTGGTCGGACAATTTTTTTCATTTATAGTACGTTACTAAAGTAATTAGACTTACAGAGACATGAATATGAAGTGCCCTATATCCAGATTACTTTGGCCAAAAAAATTTAAAGGAAGCAAAAGAAATTTTTTGACTTCCAGAGGTATAGCAACTTACCGCTCTCTCCTTTCCACTAATGTTACTAGCAGTTGTACAGTATCATTTGCAAGGTCCTGCTCTGAACTCCACACTGCCAGGTTACTGATCACTTTTTCTAAAAGGTAACCCACAATCCACTGGGAACCCTCTGTATCAGCACCAAATGCTGTACTAAATGGCAGACTTATCTATAAGAAAAGCATTAAAATGAGTGAGTTTTACAGAAGCCAGAACCCCAAAGTGTATGGTAATCATTGTCAGCAAATTCTTTTCAGGCTGTCACTTCTTCCCTACTTAAAATACACAAATGTTATATAGACAAAGGCAAAGAATACCTGTAACAGAAAAATCTTTGCCAAATTTATCTTGCAATTTTAAGCACAAGACCTAAAACAAAGAAGTTTCAACCTCATTATAAAATCAGGTTTGAGTATGTCTAGCTTTTAAGGCCAACAAAAATTCAAAAGCTTTAAAAATTAAAAGAAAGATCCCCAAATCATCTCCCAAAAAGTGTTTCTGTGAATTTACAATAAAATTCCTCAAAATTCAGTGATAAAAATTATTAGAAATAAACCTAGCTGTTGATCTAGACCGAATCTTACTAAAATTTATTTTCATGGCAATTTTTCTGCATCTGCTTTCTGCAGATTGTTCCTTCAACCTACATTTTTAGGAAAGATGTCACATTCTGGTCCTGGCACATTAAAATATGCTTCCTTGAATTTGGCTGTTCTCCTATCTTTAAAACAAGTTTCTCAAGAGTGAAATCCAAGGATTTTGTAAGAACCGTGCAAGGGCTTCCTGTAGGCACACCGCTAACATTTCTAACTTTAAAACTCATGATATATACATGGCTGAGCATAAGGTTTAAATAGAGGTTTCAATCACTTTCACATTATCAACACAAACTAAACATGTGCATTTCCTATATACTCTGTTTCTTCACATTGTTTCTGATGCAGATCTGCTTACATGCTCTCCAATTCTTCCCCAACTGGTACCTTTACAAATTCTTAGCTCTGCTGTAATTACAAGCTGAATAATAGGATTCCAAATATTAACAAGTCTATGGAATACCTATTTTTGTTAAGGAGGGGCCTCCTGAAGCGTTAGTATTCTTAGTTGCTTCAACAGTGGAAATAAAGGGGAGGAGGAGGAGGCTTCCTTCTCCAACGGCAGAGCCAACAGGACCTCCTCAGGATGAGTGGTCTCCATCAGCTAGTTGGATTACAGTTAGTTTGATAAGCAAAATCAGGATCAAGGTCTAATCATGATTAGTGCTGTCCAAACACGGTAAGAAGTTGCCCTTTACAAAGAACGCACCATTGAAATCATGATCATACAATAAGAACGTATGAGAATGGGGAGAGGAGAGAAAGTAGCCTGACATTAGCTAATGTATACTACCTTGTGATGGTGTTAAGTATCTAATTCAGAATCATGACGAGGTTACTCACTAAATCACCCATCAAGGACAACCACTGTATTACAGATGAACTGTAAGATCTGATGGATAGCAAGAAGGAGTTTATAAAATTGCTGTAGTCAGTGACTTTTACCCACTATGCAGTCTGAGACCACGCTATGCTATTCTGCTACGGCAATGGCTACCAAAAAAAAAAAAAAATCACGTTTGCACCAAAATGTGCAACTTCTGTTTCTAATTAAAAAACTAAAGCAAACATCAACTGTCAAACAAATTCCAAAATAAACCACAACCCATTTAATGTTAAAAATGCACTTTAAAATAGCTACACTGACATCTGCATTCATAGGATAATATTATTGCTAATACTCACCAATTAATTCATAGAAGTTATATCCTTACCTGATCATACAGCTTTTCATCTACTAGGAGGTAAGTCTTTGCCCAACGCTTGAGGAACCATACAATATCTTTGCCCATCTGGGGGCTCAGGAGGTGCGTGAGATTTGCCCTTATTGCTCTAGATTCTACTTCGGACACTCTTAAAATAGCAGATAACAACCTGCAGATTTAAAATACGATGAGGATGCCGAGAGTGGTTTTTGGAGAAGGAATGCGACTAGCAAACACTTTCATTTTTCATGAAACATTACAGAAGGAACAGGATAACACAAAGCAGTTCAACTCTAATGAAGTAAAAAGCCCCTGAATTTATTGGTTCTTTAAATGCAAGGACAGAGACAAGACAGACTGGCAAATATCCTCCAAAAAGTCAGAATATGCATTAAAAGATAAGGTGATCATCTCTGACATCAAAATTACTGTAACAAAGAATCCTCACAAGCACTCTGACATCAAGGGAACGAACACAAACGGACTACTACTTGGAGTGCTTGAAAAGCTTTTTTGAAAAACTGATTCTCCCTTCCTTGTACCATCAAGCTTAGTGACCAAGCGGGTCCTAATTGTGCAGATTTTGCAGTGTGATGCACACTAAAGCACAAATACAGAAATGACCAGTTATTTCTCTGTTTCATTGCTGCAGAGAAAGTCTGAAATAGCAGATCACCAGGTGATTGCATTAATACAATCAGCCCATGAAACTACATTAAATATTAGCTTTTGTAGTATACCAATCAAACTTGGCAAGAACATCATAGCGTACAAGGAATTCAGAAGCTGACAGCGGTCTGTTTCTTGAAGATGTTTCAGAGCCTCAAATCTCTCCTTATTTAGATCTGGTTTTATTCCCATCACCACTGAGACACTGCATCAAGAAATCCTGTTTGATGGCCACTTCTTGAAGCTGCCAATAGTATCAATGAGCAGTATTCAAACTTCTAAACCTTAGGCACATCATTGCTAATGAACACCTATTTTTTCTAGCCTTTTCCAGAAGAAGAAAACATTAAGTACACAACAACTAATCTTGGGTGAAGAATCTTCCATGTCCATTAAAAGCGCAAAGCAATTTTCTGAAGTGTGAGGATTCAAATTGAGGAGTCCTTTGTGGGCATCAGCCTTCTTGCAAAAAGAGAATGGAAATCCCCTCTCCTGCTCTTTTTATAAGCTAACAGTGATACATGTAACATAAATCACAATTCCTCCCACACTGAGGACCAGTTTTGCTGCTACTGCCGAGCTTGGGCAGTAACTCATGTTCAAAGTAGACAAGCTCACTGATGCTCTGGAAAGCGTTTGTTTAAGCTGTACACATGCTGAATGAATTATTATATAGCATATTATCTAAAGATTTTGATCTACCAATGTTTTAGTAATTTAAGTAATTGTAAGGATTTTCTGGAACAAATAGATCAAAGATGGGTTTTCAGTAGAGATATAAAAACATTTCTGTTGATTTCCAAGACCTTGGCTCATGCCATCTGTTAAGACTATTAGCTCAATCTAGTCATTTCAGCCTTCCCGTCTTGACTCAGTTTTATCTGTTTCGATACCTTACTCTCATTTTTCTTCTCAGTCCTTGACATGGGTCCTTGATCACCTTGACTTGAAATATTATCTGTATCTAATCTACTCTGACTTTCTCTACCTTAAAAAAAAAATAAATCACTTCACCTGTCTTTTCTTAATCCCTTTTACAGCATTGCCTTAATATGTCTGTTATAAAATCATTCTTGTAATTTTTTTGCCCTTACTTTAATACTAGTTGAAAGAGACATTTCTTTTCCAATGTTCAGTGTTTACATGTTGCTCTTTTACTTTTCAAATTCACAGAAGTCCACTCACATTCTCACTTTTTTCTTCTGAGAAAGCATTTCACATACTTAATAGCACGAGATGCATCCTTACCTAATTACAGAATCAGTTCTGTTGTACCCTGGGATGGAAGAGGCCTTTTCTCCTGGAGATCCCAGAATCTGAAGTGTTGTATTGATGTCAACCTCAGCTGAATGTTTAATGGAATATTCCATTACTTCTGGAGGTATTAGCGGAGTCTCTCCCTGAGTATCATTAGCCAAGAGGTAGCCTTACATTAAAAAAGAAAGAGTCATCACAACTTTCTACCCTAGGTTAGCTTAGGGCTTTTTGACTAGAGAATCCATTGGCTTAACTGCAGACATGACACCAGAATAAAATGTTTGTACAAACCCTGACTAACACTGTTTAAATACATGTAAGTTAACTTCAGAATCCTTAAAGCCATTCAAGTAGAGAAGAACCTAAAGTGACAAGAAACCAAGACTGGAAAAGAAACCACCAAATTAAAAAACAAATAACATAAAAAAAGATATAAGCTTTGCTTCATGTAAAAGTACTACAGTCAATTCAACTACTGAGGGGAAAAAACCCAAACAACATTTTGTTGTCACATTTTTCTTCTTCTGTTGTGTGATAAATGAAGCCTTGATTTTACAGCTTCCCCACTGAGTCCACCTCAATTGGGACTTTGGTTCTACTAACATTTCAAATTTGTCAGAGGCTTTCAGACACAAAGCATGTGCGCTATAATAAAGTTTTCCTTGCATAGTAACTGCACATCAGGTGAAGTATGGGTTTTTATACAATACACTGGTGTCCAGATAATTAATATTCATTCCAGCTTTAGTTGCAGTTTTCAATGTCTGATCTCATAACCATCTGTGAGCTACAAGTACAAAGTCCATCCCACAGTGATAAAACAAATATCATAAACACATTCACGTCAACATCTGAGAGCGACTAAAATATCAGATGTTCAAAAAGATCCCAGAAAATATTTCATAAAGTATACATTTCTCCTAACAAAGTACAGACACTGTCTTATTTATGTTTTGCAAACAGATGTAAGATAGTTCCATCTAAAAATCAAAACCAAAAAGGTTCTAAATGCAAGTTCCCTGAAACATAACAAAATGCCAGGAGCTGGATCATCAGCACTGAGAGATTCTGGAACTTACTTGATTCTTTGCCACGACTGAGTAATACCGTTATCCTGATCTCATGTTGATTCCCTTATAAAGTCATGTGCCCCCAGACAATACAACTGATATCATGAACAGACTAATTTCTTAATAGGTTGACTAATAACACATCTCAAAAATCTATAACCAAATTAGTTGTGGGAATTTCCAAAGGACATTACGTCATGTAAAGATTTCATCAATCTATTAAAGATAACGTTCGTGTTACTCAAGGCAGATGAAAGTAAAACAAAGACTTTGCAAGTAGTGTATGTAAGATGAAAGCCTCATAAAGGATAAAATTTATAGTCAGAGTAGTTGACATACAAGGAATTTTTTTCTCCTGAGGTGTTCCAGCTGCAAGCAGAATACCAGGACAAGTACTCTTTAAAGCTGTTCACTAACCTGTGACTAAAATAAGCCAATGAATATCCTCATACAGGTCATCAAGCACTTTATTGTCAATTGAGCCTGATGCTGGTGAGGCAAGTAACTGCTGCTGGTGTCTTTGCAACTGACCATGGAGCCTTGTCACTCGGTCTTCTAATAAACTGTGGACAAAAAACAATAAAATAACTTCACTGTTTTTAAATTGTTTCGGCAAAGTCAGGTTTTTCATATGTGATGGCTTTATTGATTTGCATTCATGACTATTTATTTTGTACCTTGTAAGAAGAGGTATACAGTGTTCTGCAGCTATTCTCCCCAGCATGCCTACGCTGGCCAACTGGTCACAGAACTGGTCTCTGTCATCTTCCTGCAGTTCACTTATTTCTTCTTCTTCCCGAGAGGCCACACCATTGGCAGTCTTTGGTTATTTCAACAAAATTTGAAGCAAGCAGTTAGTGTTATATTTGTTAAATTTTATCACCACCACAATTTTCTACATTATTTTGGCTTTTTCTTTCAAGGTGTTTTGCATGGATGAACAACAGACTCGTACTAAATTAGACACAGAAGAGTTAAACAGAGGAGTAAACATGGCTTCATATTGGTTTAAAATCAGCATTTCACAAACTCATTAGCAAAATGCCACATTCAGTTAATTGTATATTTGCTACAATTTCCAATAGTGCTCTCAAGTCAGAAGATTCACTGTTTCTGAAAAGAATCAAGTATAAGAGTTACAAAAATTGATACTTGTTATTAATAGGATAAGCACAGGATGGACAATAGCAAAACAGCTTCTTTACACCACAGGGCATGTAAATCAGCTGTTGAGCATCCACTGCTAGAAGTACAATATAAGGTACTGCATGGCTCACAGAGAAGAACTGCAAACCCAGTGGTCAGAAGATAGCTGAAGTATGTTGGCATTTCAAATCACATATATAGTAGACCAAGAACCATTTTAAATACTGGAACTTCCACGCCTTCCCCTATTCATTAGTCAAAGATATTGTTATCAGTTGTCTGAAATCTTACATAAATCACCTAGTAGGTAGTATTTTTCATGATGAAATGAAAATCATCTTTTTCATTAAAGATATTCCATAATCCATTGTTTGAGGGGAAAAAGCTTTAAAAAGTAAATGCTATAACCTCAGGAAAATAGAAGACTCATAATAATAGTAATAATCATCATCATCATCTCCTCAGTTTTATTTCTTGCTGATGTAGAAGTCGCACTGTTTGATTTCTCAAAGCCTATCTTGGCTGGGTTATAAAGCTACTTAAATAATCATCAGACCTTATTCCTTGAAGAGATGAATCATGATATGCAGAAAACAAGGATCGATGTTAAAAATGTTTTTAGAAATCTCTTAAAGAATCACAAAATTTACACAACTAAAGAAGTAAAATACAAGTGACAGAGAAAGCTATCAGTCTGCTCTGTTTCTATAAAGGCTCTGGAAAACTGAATCCACACACAACTCCTTATCCAAAAGTGCTTTTAACCCATCTTTTCTTTATGCAACCCAGCAAATCATTCTCTTCTGGCAACTTCAAAGTTGCAGCTGTTTACTGAAGGGTGAGCCTCTCCTCTCAAAGCAGAGACTGAAAGTTCCCGTTACTGCTTTGATATTGAACAAGAAGCATTCTAAAATGCCAGCTGTGGCTTTTAAAAGGTTACCCATGGGATAAATGACTTATCTCACAGAATGACATGAATTAACCTGTGTATACAAGTTATGTCAAGACCGCCTGATATGAATTCAAATTTCTCCTGTGAAATATTTCTCTCTGTTTTGGCACTGTTATTACCATCTGTTACATGTTAAGATAGCAGAATTAAGTTTTATACAGTGCTTTTCAGAATGAGGTATCTCAGAGATCTTTGCACAGCATCAATTAAAGAGAGATTCTATACAGTTATTGCATTGAATCTATGCAAGAATTAATTCATCCAACACCTACATGCAACTTTCTGTAACAGAATCTGTTTTAGTAAGACTCCTGGTAAAGAGACTGATCTGCTTGCTTTCTCAGTGGTTCAAGAGATACTTGAGGTACTTTTAGGTTTTCTCAGAACAGTCACCTCAAAAATTCAATTGGGACCTCATTTAATCCAAAAAACCAACATAATATTGCAAGTTTCTTCTAGTCTGAGCATCATAATTCTATATTTTTTCAGATATTTATGCACGTCAATTATACTTCAAAAGTACACTTTGAAGATAAGGTATGGAAGGTAACAACTGTATAAAAGGCTTCCAATTTCATTAGGCATTTTAACTAGGACCCTAATGCAGAGAAGAATGGTCAAAAGTTTAGTCATTGCATCTGTGGGAAGAACAGTAAGACACACATTGATTTGAGCAACATGTTTTCTTCTTTTTTTAAACTGATTTCTAACTTTGTATTCCTTTATTTCCTCTTCAGAATGAGTGAAACAGATTGGAAAATGACCACTAAGTAACAAATTCAGCAAATTTTTCACTTCCAAACTCACAAATAGTAATATTATGCTACCTCCCTTGAGCTACATAATATAGCACACACCAAAAGACATGGGCTAGTTACTATATATCATCATCAAGAACTACTAGAATGAGGGCTTACCAAATTCCTTGTACCATCAGGAGCAGCTAGATGGCACTGAATATAGGAATTAAAGACCTGAACAGCATGTTGGGTAAAAAAACCCTTATGGAAATGTTTGTCATCTTGTACCAAAGTAAGCCAAGATTCCAGCAACTTATCATACGCTTCCATATATACCATGTCATCTTTGTCAAGCTGTAAGAGATGAAAAGAAACAAAATAAAAATCTTATTCCTAAACTAAACCAGAGGAACATACTTATATTCATTATTTAACAGATGTTCTGATGCTGAAACAAAAAAAAAAATAAAATCAGTCACAAACCCCATCTAAGGATAGCCAAGAAAATATCAGAATGAACTGACGCAACGCATCGAAAAGGTCAGTGCACCTTTCATGCTTGGTAGGCTTTAAAAAACTGTCAAAGTGTTTAGCTATTTCTCTTCATCTGATGTTCAAAACCAAAAGTCTTAAATTAAGCCTTTAATGCATAATTACCTAGACACAGGAGCTACTGAGCTTTTACCTCAAAGATGTCAAGCTTCTGAGCTCTTATTAGTAACAACAAAGAATTGAGTAATTTCTTTTTAATTAAAGACAAATATAGAACAGGTGCATATATATTTACATGTATTCCACTATTTCTGAAATAAAGAGAGAAAAAAAAGATGACGATTGTCTGTTCCAGAGGAAGTCACTGTAAGATTGCACGTGTTCAAGAAACCTTACTACAGGTAGCCAGTTTTGATGATAATACACAACTTCTCATTCTATGAACAAACAAACAAAAGCAGAATTCCACAGAATAAGCCTGCACCTCCAATGGCTTAGTGCATTTTAATTGATGCTTTATGTTTTCAGTTACCCATATGTGTTTCTATGTAGTACATAAGTTGCAAAAGACAATAATGTATCTGAAAAACAAAGTCCTGGGTTACAGGCAAACTAAAGAACCCAAATAGCAAAGAGGCCATTTCCTTTTTAAAGTATGTTTAATGTACCTATCAACTTTTTGATTTAATGCAAAAATTGAACTTTAGTAAATACATCCAACTTCAAATAACTGAAGTGTGACTGTACGGATAAACACGCTGCTGAAGCAGGAGATTTTTTTCCTCCAAAAAGTTTTAACCAACAGGATTGTTCACAAAAGTTACTTTGAGATAGCAGAGCTTAGTAAAATGATTGCATGATGAAATAAAGAGATGTTAAGGCCTTAATCATGCTCCAGACAGAATTCCTGACTTTCAGTGAAGTTAAACACAGCTGGATGAACAGGCAAGGAAAAGAAAACATTGGCTAGATGACCGATTAAGAGGGAAAACTGATAGCACATTGGAAGCATTTCAAGATAGCTTCACAGCATTGTTTCATAACTGCAAAGTGGTCATATTTACAGAAGTTAAAATATGGGAAACACTGATGCAAGTGTGAAAACAAAAGCTGAAGATGTCAAGGAGAGATTCAAAAATTGTATTCGACACTAGCATAAGCCACACATTTAGAATGGACACCACAACATATCTCTTTAAAATTTGGCTCAAGGACACACAAATTCATACCGTCATTCAATCCTGGAATATTTTGACATGTGTGTAATATATTTACATATATAACTTACGTATAACTTTTAATAAATTATAAGAATTCAGAGCATAAACAAATTAACAGACATGTCTTTTTACAAAGAACTCAAATCTATCCAATTCATTTATTTGAGAAGGTAATACAGAAGTTAATGCCATGAAAAAAAAATTGTTTTAACACTTTATGGTATTCTCATAAGGAAGCTAGGATTAATAAGTGCCTGCATAGAGAACGTGCCTAAATAGTAGAAAGAGTTTATCCATACTGAACAAATTTAGTCACAAAGGAACCTTACTAAAAATTCCCAATCCTTATTTCAGATTAGCTACAGCTGGCCTACCAAAGATGTCATACAGGTAAAGTAAGTGACATGCTGTAGACTGGGGAGCTGAATTGTTCCGATGGATCCAACAGAAGCAATGGCAGAGCCCAGTTCAGAACTCGGATCTTCAGGAGAGGCAAGATACAATCAGTAAAATCAAACCAAAGATGCTTAATTTCTCTAGTATGGGAAACGAAAAGAAAATTGGTACTTCTTCCTTCAGAGCGTGCTGACTCTTTGAAGAAAGAACACTTCTAAAAATCTGTCAAGCAGCAACAAGCTGGAAAGAGTTGGAAGCACAGCAGACAGGACCAAATTCGAACAATCTCTCCCATCACATGATACTTAAAAAAAAAATAATCATGAAACAGGAACAGTGCATTAAGATTCATTTTGAGAAAAAGACGACTTTGATATAATTTCTATTTGACTTTTCATCCAACGTCCTGTTCATACTCTTCACTAATTCAGATGGACTATTTGATTTCTACTTCTGGATAAGCACTAAGTGTTGAGCCAGGCAAAGTATAGCTGTGGACAAGCCTCTTCTCTCACACCCAGTGCTATTAAAGGAAGAGATTACTGGTCCAAATTGCACCATGAACTAACCTCCAGCATCGCTGAAGCTTACTGCCCTCCACCAGTGTAGCTATTCAGGCAAATGTTTCAACTTCCTTCAGCCAATCTCCCCAACCCAACAGGCAGGTTAATGTAAACTAGCATTTGAACATGATGTTTGGATTGTTGGTTCTTCCCCCTTGGTTGAAAATGAGTATTAGCTGCTTTGAAGTGGTTCGCATTCTAAGGTTCATGACCTCCTAACTTTGACGGTTTCCATAGCAGGTCTTCAGCTAAGTAAATTCCTTGTGCCTGACGGGGTTTCTGCAACGTTCACATGAGATGTTCTGCTGGCATATGAAGTGGTAGAAATATGGGGAAAAACAGCTTTTCTGACCAGCAAAGCTTATAGGAGTACGCCTGCCTGCATTGTGCTGCACTTTAGATTTCCGAACAGCTCCAGGAATATTCTCTGGGGACTTTACTGAGCCCAATGCACACAGTACTTTATCTATCAAGAGCTCTTAATTACAGACAGCACATGAGCTCAGAGAAGGTGTAACTACAAGCAGTCTAAGAAATAAGCATTAACCATGGCTGGGACATTCCTAAGCCAAAAGATCGTTTTCAGGGATGTCAAGTAGTACTTCTACAGGCACAGTACACAGTATCATTACGCCATCTGGAAAAAGTCAGCAATCATTTAGAAGTCTCAGTAGCATGCCTTATTGCTGACACACTGTTAAAGTATAAGAATTATTTTTTTGAAGGCCCATCACCACAGAATTCTGTATCATCCTGGAAACCAGAGAAACAGTATCAAGTTGAAATACCAGTAAAAGCTATGAGAATGTAAGGGGTGAAGGTGTAATGTTTCTTTTCCACAGAATGATTTAAAGATTCAAGGACAGTGAGAAAATTATCTCTTAAAAAAAAAAATCTTGTGTTCTCTCTGATGTTGCTGAATTTGAGAACATTTTAGTTTAATTCCGGAATGACTTTCTTCAGCAAAAACTATGGGTTTATATAAGTTAGGCGGCCACAGCTTACTAGGCATAACTGGCCACTCACTTCCAAAGCAAACTTTGTACCAGATAGTGGTACAAGCCCACCGTAAGCTTTTGCTGAGAGATGAAGTGTTTTGAATGGTGTTATATTGAGCATTGTTTTCATTAAGCACGGTTGCATATTCTAGCTCTGAAGTAACAAGAGGCTAATTGAGGAAACAACATCCCCTTAGTCCCTTTAATTCAAAAGATAGGTGCCTATGGTTTTGCTGAATCTCTTCTATAAAGGCTTCAGGAGCATTCCTAAATGTGTTGGTGAGCACCAGAACATATGTTCAATGTTCTACTACAAAATCTCAAAAGCAAGGTGTCGCCAAGTTTTGACCAATAAGGTTTGGAAAGTAGCTGTATTTTAGATGCTAAATTTAATCACCAGTTTTTTGATTAAGACATGAACACACTTGAAAGTTTAAGTGACTGCTGGGTTGAAAGTAATACATTTTAACCTTGCAGCAAAGACATGATCTAATGCTCTGCAATGAATGCTAATTAACACACCTGTGATATCTGGTAAAGAAACACATTCATCAACTTTAGAACTAAATACTTCTATAATTATTTTCAAACTCAGGTAATTAAATGCAGGCAATATAGCAAAACTGGTAAGAATTCATACTTTAATGATAATGGGGAAATATTGGCTAATATCTTGATAGTCTCGTTTTAAATCAATAGCTACTGCACTTAAACAGCTCAAGTTCAATATTATTTGCCTTAATTCTTACGGACTTTTTTCCTTAAAGTAGGAAAGTCTCCTTAAAAGTTTTTATTTGTAATGAAATTTTGAGAAGCAGAAGACTTAGACTATGCCAACTGCTCTTTAATGTTACAAAGTTTGAAATATGTAAACAAACAAAAAAAATCCTCTGAATTACTGTGCTAGATTTGTACACAGGATTCTCATTTGAACTGTGTCAGTAATGAAGGGATGATCTGAACAGCTTAGAAATATGGGGTTAACAATAGGTCTTAACAGCTACATTCACTTAAAACAGAAGTTCCTGACTCAGAACTGACAGCAGTTAAGTTTCAGTCTGTCCATATGTTCATGTAGTCATTTTAAGCTTTCAGGACTGCAGCTCATTCATTATCTACAACAGTTTTCAGAGAAGTCCTACAAGAGCAGGTCAGCAATATTTAAAGACTTTAATATTTTTAAATGAAACCATTCTTTTTAAAATGAAAATATGAAACAAGTGCTTGAAATCAAAACAAAGTTTGAAAGATGCACACAGTGTGTAATTATGTTCATTATGTTGTTTGAAACAAAAAGAAAATCCTCTCAGATGTGATTTCAGAAATATCTAGAACAAAACCACTGAATTCATAACAGTTAATAAAACAGCCAAAGTCTCATGTCACTTATGCTTATCACAAACAGAAAAAAACCAAAACAACAACAACAACAAAAGACTACCTACTATTTCAGAGGGGATACTTACCACTTCTTCCAAGGCAGCACTTCTTCCAAAAGAACAGGTGAGGTGTGCGAGGCAGTTAACAAATGAAGAAAAAAGTTCATTTGGAATGGCAGTTAAAATATTGCGAGGAAATACCGTTATCAGGTTGCTGATAATACTGGAAATTCCGACTGCTTCAGAGTCTTCTATTTCAATTCTATAGATAGAAATAGCAGTTAGTTTTTTGCCATTAAGAAAAATGCTAAAAGTGAATTGATTTTGTTGGTACCTTTTCAATCAATAAATCTACTTCATATTACTTAAGCACCACCTACTTTAAACTGCCTTTTCTTAATTTCAGTAATCCAACAGTAAGCACAAATTATACCCAGAAATAAGCAAGCCCTACCAGTTCTCCACACAGATACTCTACACTCCAAACTAAAGATTCAAAGATGCCATCCAAATTTAGAGAGCAGGCATACATACCCATTGATAGTATTCAGTAATCCCTCAATGAAGTGTGCCAGGTAATCAACTTGTGAACCTTCATCGGGAAAGACTGGCCCGTGCAAAGATGCCAGCTGTGCCAGACACTGTAAGGAATCTTGGGCCATATCTGTATCTTCTCTGATTTTTCGATGTACCTTTCAGGAAGCAAGACAGTTAATAATACAGGAAAATAGGGTGTTCTTACAACAGTCACATGGCTCTCAATCCAAAAGAGCACACACCAAAAAAAGCTTACTATAACTTCCACTCAGTCTAAAATGCAAGAGTTTCTACAAATCTCTAAACCATCGTAAATGTCAAGACTGTGACTCAGCTCACAAAATCACAAGCCTTGAATTAACTCACTGAAACTAAGATTTAGTTAAGTCTCACCTACATGTTGAAAATTGAACTGTCTACTGAATGTTATGTCTTAAAGAGAGAAACAGATGCCAGCTAGTCAGACATACTGCTCCTTCTAAAAACAGCAATAATGACAGTCATCTCTATTATGCTAACTATGCCTAGGCTATGGAGTCTTGCTAAAGTTAGTCAACAAGTTCAATCAAGATTATATAGATGCTTCTTTAGCAGAAGTAAACACTGAAGACATATACAAAAATGAATGCATCACTTCCTTGGCAACCCCCTTACATTATACAAGGCCAACAGTAATCTTCCCACATTTCTGCGAACTGTTATGTCATTACTTCTGCTGGTGAGACTTTCTAGATTCAAATCTTAATATTTCACACACTGATTTTAATTGTCAAGTATGGATTTAAAGAATTTTCTTAGGCTTATGCCTTCTGCTTTTTCACATAAGATACACTGTATAAAGAAATAAATAAATACAGCTTTTTCACCCAGCAGCAAATTTAGTTATATTATTTCAGCAATATTATACATAAAAGTACAGTTAAAGCACTAACTATTTCTCTGTAGCGTTATAGTTGCAGCTTCATCCAACTTACAACTAGCTGGGTTAGCTGCACAGTTAATCTCTGAAAGATAAAACTAGCAGGAGAAACAAACCCTGCAACAGAAATACCGTTCCTAATACACGTCCCACACTAGGCTGAGATTAGAACTGAAGGCTCTCTCTTTAACATGGCAGTCCTGCCAACTTTTGCAAGGTTATTAAAATTTCTCAGATCAGATGAATATAAGTTACTACCACTCACTTACATTACTTCAAATAGCAAACTAATACTACAAGCCTCAACCATTGCAAATCAGGAATCTAAAACCAAAACTGACAGCGTACTGCCCTGGCTAGCAGTCATTCAAAAATAATCAAATACAGGTGGGTTTTGGTTGCTGTTAAGCAAAATGCAAATGTATTACAACAATTCTGCATGTTATTCAAAACATTATTCTTATCATGAATAAGTAATTGTAAACCAACCAAAGAAATGGATATCTCTGACAACTTTATACTATTAAACAAGGGAGGAAGGGTTAATATGTAAGCCAAAAAGTTATTTGCATGTGGAGGTTCACAGCTGACAGTAGCAACTGTCTGGATAGTCCAGACAGCTGTTCAGATTGTGTGGAGCTGCTAAGAGTTCTGCCAGTGATTTTTTCACCTTTTCAAAACTGCTGGAACAGATAAACTTGTAGTCAAAAAGAAAGTTTAAAAAAAAAAAATCTAATTTATAAAAAAAAATCCAACAAAGTACATATCCAAACACGTATCAGATAACTCTCTAGCAGTACCGGAGAGCTACATTTACTTTGTCTAATAACAACTTCGTCCAAGGTTTGAGTATATTATTTCTTTGCCTTGCAAAAATGAAAACAGCCCGAGAATGCTGAATTCTCAGGTCCCAAAAGATGTAACACATGATAACATAGCATAGTAAATTAATTTATAAGCTAATATTATCTTGCTGCTGCAGTAACTCCTAGCTGAACAGCAACTACAAACTTCTCCCAACAGTTGTAGAAAGAAAACATAACTAGTTTTATCCAGTTTTATTATAATGGGTTTTTTAAGTTATGAAATCAAGTATTACATTTCCTTCTCCCATCCCTCATAACTTAATCTATTTCAACTTGTCTGGATTTACTTTGTGCTGAGGAAAGAGATGCAGAATTCTGTGTGCTGAAACTGGCCAGAAAACTGCAACTACATTACTTATTTTCAGCTGTTCGTTGAGCAAATGCTTTAAGATCAGCAAACACGTACTGTTCATTTGATCTTTTTTTTTGAGAGCCGTTACACCTTATCTGAAAGATATACTCTGCCACTGCTCATCATGCTTTGTTTCGTTTGATGAGTATGTGTCCAGAAGTATTAAATGTATAAAAGTTTAGATAACTATACACCTTTTTCTTTTGTTAATGGTCATCAATTTAAAGCAATTTACAGGCAAAATACCTATTTGGCAACCCAGGAAAATACAATACTTCGGTTTGCTTTGATAAGGAAGCTGAAGTTAACAGAATCAGTCCTACCTGATGCAAAAGGAAGAGTCCAACAATACAGTTTTAGAACAGGAAGGAGCTGCTTTCCCTGTGGTCTGGACTATGAAAGTTGAAGAAAGAAACTTACTGTAAAGAAAAGCTCCATAACTCTGCTGTCCAGGAGGGTCTCGCGCCAGGATTCTGTTGGCTTTAGCATCACATTTTGTGAGGATTCAAACATAGCTATATAATGTCTGCCCAGTTATCTGGTGTCAAGGTCAACAATAACATTCCTACTTGGCTTTAAAAAAATCCTAGATACAACAGGATCCATTCAGAAAGAATGTAATGGAAACAAACTTTAAGCCTCTTCACATACACAGCATAATTCATGCATGAGGCCAAGGAATAAAAGGTATTAAGTATTGAAAAAAAGAATGCTCCAGGAATGTTAGATAACAGTTTGATCATAATTATGAGACATACCATAGTGATACGATCACTTTGATAACCAGGGTGTCTAATGTGACACAGCGAGAAGGGAAAAAAGCAACCGCAATTAACAGGTGTTAAAATTTATGCAAAATAGGAAATCATTTTCTAAAAAATTTTCCTGGCAGCTTTTAAAAAGGCTTTATGATAGCTAAAGATAGCTCATTGAAATCTATCTCCTATTTTTCTAAATAGCCAAATATGCATCACAGAATGCAGATATGTTAGCCCTGCATTAATCTACATTTTTTAATCACACTGTGAAGAACAAAAGCATAAGGCACCACAAGGCATTGTCATATTAAACACATTTGTAAGAGACGCACGTGAAAAAATGCACACACTGAAGTCACAATTTTGCTGCATGCAGTTCTTACCATGTGTTTTGGCATAACTTAACCTACAAAACCCTGCAAATGCTCTAGTACAGAAAAAACAGAGATGAGCAAAAACATTTAAACAAGCAGGTAACATTCTTTGTCAGTCTGATCATGCAAAAGATTGTTTATCTAAGATTTTTGAAAGTGCTTCCTTCTGTGACACGCCCCAAACCAAGCAGTAGTAAAACTGCTTTAACTCCGCAACTTATGTTTTCGTTTGTCTTTTTTAAACCCTTCATTATCCTCTCTGATCCCTTCCTAACCCAACCATCAGAATAAGTAACAGCATGCTCAGCTGCATGTAATTTACTCATTGGGAATGAACTGCATTAACTTTTGACTGTAAGTCATCAGGTACTATAAAAAAGTACTTATATGTCTAGAAGAAAATAAATTTCACAACGGCATCATTCAAGAAAGCAGACCCCTTACCTTTTGATGGGTTTTGCTTAAGAGATCCATATATAAAGCAAACATCTAGCTTAATACGAAGAATTGTGGCACAAGGTAGGATGCACAGTTTTAGTTTGTTTACACTTGTCTTCTCAGTTCTGCCAAAACGAGAAATTCCTAGTAACACAGTGCAGAACCACATTCCAAAAAAGCAACTTTTTCCACGGCACAGTACCAAGTGGACCTTCACTGGTGGTACGTGTCCAGAACTGCTGTCAGCACATTACAATGCATAAGAACAATCAAGGATTTTCACATTAGAGCAAAACAAAACCAGTTTCACCATTTTCAAAACTATCAATGTGTGTTGAATCATATCAGATCTGCATTATTTCAGATGGGGAAAAACTAAAAATCATAGAATTGTCTATTTCACTTCCATCTGAAATACAGATTTAATTTAAATGATCAAAAATGCTTCAGTTCTCCCAGATGAAAAAGAAAAAAAAAGGCATGAAATTATCACATGCAAGCATCCTTTATCAGGAGTAATATTACAAATTAAAACTAATTTTATCTAGTAAATTAAGCAATGCTTTTTTTCCTTTTCATTTGGAATGTTTTAGAAAAAACAGTATTTTAAAATTGTTTATTGACAAGGATGTCTTTTGCTGTAACCCTCCAATAAACGATTGGCTTGGAAACACATCAATATCAGAAGATGATCACAGGTACTTTATCAATCTCTGAAAATCAATTTGCTCTTCAGTAGGTTAAGTGTACAGAGGGGATCAGGTACATAGCACTTTTCACGTGGAATGAAAGAAGGGCTAGTTTGCTGTCACTATTTTAACAAGCCTTAGTATTTAGCAGCCCTATCCTGTTATTTTTAGTACTGTTTCTCATGCTAATGGACTGATGACACATCTGACAATAGCAGATTTGTGGGTAAAATATCTGTTCACTAAACAATACAAATTATGCCTGCACCTATCACGGAGATTTTACACCCATTTTCCATCACGTACTACATGTACGCAAACATTAGCGTAAGTTGGCTGTGGAGTTGCTTGATGCCATGAAACACCTCAACTTATTCTGTGCTGTGGTTCAGCCTTATTAGCAGCAGCCCAGTTATGCCAAACCTGAAGAAAATGGCACCAAATTACCTAGTATATGGGTGTACGCAGGACAAATACAGTCTTCATCAAAAATTAATTTACTTTTCAATACTTACAAGGAAACAAAAAGTACAGAACTAGCACAACACTTTTTTGTAAGCACTCAAGCTATAACATAGACTTATGATAAGCAAAGATGAGTCTATTATGACATCCTGGAGAGTTTGGGGATTTTTTTTAGTTTGTTTGTTTAAATTAAAAACCATAATTACCACTTCTGGTAATAAATACAAATGTTTGTAACATTCCCAACTCTCCTGAAGAATGAGTAACTCTCATGACAGTTCACTTTGAATGACACAGAAATCCAAGCTATGAAACAGGTACCAGAAGCACGGCAATGCTTCACCCAGTTCACAAGACTTACTACACCAATTCCTACAGAGACTAGGAACTTCTGCTTGAACCGGAACAGATTATCCAATAACATGTACCAAGCTCTACCGAAAAGCATAAGAATATAACTAGATGCCTTCGTGTATGATAAGACTCATATGCTCATTAACTAGTGCCTAGAGAGGAAGAGGAGAAGACCACAATGTTTAAGACAGATTTTCTTTTATCTTTGCCTAAATTTATCTATGTAGACATTAGCTCTATGCTTGGTTTTGTTTCATGAGCTGGAGAAATAAGAGTAATCTTTTTTAAGTTATAAATTTTTAATTTTAAAATTGTAATTTGGAAAAAAAATTCAAAGTTTTATATGCTTCTTGGAAGAACATATTAAAAAAAGAAAATAAAAGATAAACAAATGTGTAGTTTTCCTCCCACTCTTTGCCTCTGTCCCAGGAAGGGACTGATAGGTGAAGATGAGTATCAGAATATTTAATATCCTAAGGCAGCCACAAGGGATTATGATGTTTCACTTCAGGACTTCCCACAAATTCCAGCAGCTAAGAATGGATCCCACGGTCTTTTTCCTAAAAGAGGCAAGGCTTGCCCTTCCACAAATTAGTAAATTAGGAACTCAAAAAAAATCAAAACTGAGATTTCTTCTGCCAGACCTCAATTCACAAATTTGTCCACAGGAATGAAGAACAACTCAGCACTCCAGGATTCTTCCCTCCATTTCTAAGGCCCCAGTATCTTTCTTAAAAGTTATTTTAATCACTTTACCTTTGTTGTTTGGGACAATTCTGGAGAGCTTTGTGTCAGTCTTAGACTTACATTTTACAAATTAAAAACTGCATCAGAAAGGTAACTGCTTGGAAATCTGCCATCCAGTGTCAGAATGTTAACATACTGATTTTATTTGGATTTTTAAGACCTCCTCTGGCTTGTGAGCTAGTCAGCCAAGCACATGGATGAGTCTAGAAGCAACTGTCTAAAACTGAGGCAGAGGCTTGCTGCCCCCTATGGAGAAATGCTTCACAAATCTTCATATAACTTACACTCTCGGCAAACATATCCAGCATTCAGGAGAAGATGAATATATGCTGAAATATTTAACTATTAAACACAAGTGTTCTTAACTGTCAGGAGAACGAAACAACTACTTTGTGTTGGAGACACTTGACTCAGATTGCAGCAACAGGCATAGGAAGTGTAGGAAGACTCAAGCTAATTTTAAAATAGGCCAATTCTGGAGCCGCCAGCAGTGTAGCCATGCAGTACCAAGCCTCAGGTTGACCACCCAAGTGGATTCTGCAGCTCCTGCTACATTCTGCTGCTATGGTTATACAGCTAATAGTATGCAAGCTAATCACTTTAAGCCTAGCTTACACTTAAAGCACCTATGCAGAAGCAACTGCCATGCAGACACAGCTCAAGAGTCGTACCTTGTCACTATATACTGGCTGCCATCTAGGAAGCTGATGACAAATCACTGCAAAACTGGAAACTTAAAACCACTGAGGCAAGAGAGCAGCAGAAGAAAAATCTATATATTTTATCAGTTCCCCTTCATAAAAAGGTCATTTTCGCTTTTCCTCTTCTGATATTAATACTTTTAAGATGCTCTTACATTGCAAACTGATTTCAGAATTCATTTAGGAAAACCCAAATGATGAATGATTGTTAAAAAATTCAATATCAATACAAACATGTTTAGTGCAATTATGACCAAATTCAGAGGATCTATCAATCTTCTTGGTTTTGCTCAATTTTGTCTTAAAAAGTTGCTAGAAAGGATTGTCAAGAAAACACATAGTACTCCAGAAATAATTTCTAAACATCAGGGATTTCAAAGCCAAGTCAGTTTTCACCTAAAAGTGATAAGTCTGATAAAAGTAAAACGCATCTCTCTCTTGCACTCTCTTAAATACAGCTATTTTAGTAACATGGAATTTTTCTTTATATCCCAAACAATAGCCAGGATAGTATCCCAAACCTTCATCTTTCAGATAAAGACAGACTCCTGCAGTAAATTCAGGATAATCCCAGGCTGTTAACAAACACAATGCCTAAGGAAAGCAGCCCTGCTGCTGAAGGAAATCTGTGTGGTCGCTCCTCCGTACAGATTCAATCATTCTGTAGCTGTGCAACAAACCAAACTGGGGACCTCAACCTGCTAAAAAGAGTTTTCAGTCAGGTGGTTCCCTGCTCAGTATCATTTGCATGGGAGGGGCTAGGGCAGGATGCTTTTTCAGCAGCAATGCCAACTTGAATCATTCCTCAAAACAGACCTCAAGTTTTCTGGAGCATTCTGTGTGTTTTTCATGCACTTCCATTACGCATAACAGATGCTACCAATCTGGGCTGGTCCAAGTTCAAATCTCGAAAGTCTGCAGAACTACATGGTTCACAGGATCTCCCAGAAAGGTGTCTCATTCTGGCTTGAGGTTTAAAAGACATTTTCAAAACAGAGATATGAAGAGCATTGTTCGTTTAACTGTGTGGCTGAGGAACGCACACACTTTCTTTAAAAAAAAAAAAAAAAAGGCGTTCAGATCAGACAAAAGCTTCAGTCAGTTCATACAATTGCCATCACACCATTAATTTCAATGGAACAGCAATGATGCACATTAGTGGACTGCATCCCATTAGGTTTACGTAACCTGTATTTTAAATCCAATCCCCTATTCTACATTCACTTGAAAATCTGCCAGCTTGCCTCCAAGCAAGTAGAGGCACGAAGTCCAAAACAAGAACTAAACCTCAAGTTCTTCTTTATTCATGTACTATAATCCATATGTTCATGAATAAGGGATAAGTAGTTCCATGACAGCTCTTAATGACAGACAATAGACACCTTGTTGTAGATGGGAGACAGCTGTACAAAAATCTTATGTTCTGTTTAAGAACTTCTGCATTTGAAGACATTCATCCAAAGTCCTTCAGCATGTGGCTGCCAAGAACAGACAAATCCCAAAGTCAAGAAGTGAGAAACGTCTCTGGAGGTAAAAGAATGTAAGTTATAATTACATCCTGACTCCACAGGGCATACGTGCCCATGTCAAGGTGCAATAAGGTCCAGCAACATTCAGCTCCTTAACTGGAGACTTTGGACACTCAAATGTCCTAGGAGTGAGATCTTTGAAGGCACTCCTGTAAAGGAGAGGGCTGTACCTCTTAGTACTGATTACCTAACACTTCCTTAATTAGTCAAAACATTCATTTAAGAAAAGATGTCGTTAAAACTAGTTCCATTCAAGTAAACAATATTTAACAGTGCTGTAACAGTACTGAAAAAAGAAATTCTACTGAAGCCAACATGCCACGACAGACTGCCATACATTCTTAGTGCAAAATAGGAATCCTGTTATTGTCGTTTCCAACAGTACTGCCAAAAACCTCTGAAGCATCTGCAAACACCAAGTGAACTAATACCTTGAGGTGGCAGATGAAAACAACCATAGGTGATTTTCTGTGAGTTAGAAAATTAAATGGAAGGAACTGCACAGACTGAAAGGAGGCCTCCGAGGTCATCATGCCCTGCTGCTCCTATTGCAGGCACTACATCCCAAGACACTTGACAAATACTGAGTTCCAACTTGAAAGTAGGTAGGTCCCAGCCTCTCATTTCATTGCTCCAATGAGGTGGCTATTCCAGAATGCACCTTTCATGCCAGCAATAGACAATCCAGACTTACCACAAGTCTTCTGTTATGATCAGTGCCAGCACTGTCCAAGACTGCATTTAACAGTGCAACACATACTAAGCTATCCTATAACAGCACAAGAACTCTTGAGAAGTGATATGTTTTGATGCAATTCTCACAACTTGGTGATTTAAATACTGTGCCTGTTGGCAATGCTCACTGTAGAGTTAATGCATACTTATGCTACTTCCTTTTTTTTGAAGATACAAGAATCTTGCTTAGGAATATATACAAATACTGCAGATTGCTGTTATGCTGCAGGGAATACTGAGAATCAAGACTATCTTGCCAGGGGAAATACCAACTAAAGGAAAAAAGATATAGCTGTGGATACAATGGATCATTTTACTCCATGCTTCGAGTATTAAATTTACGCCCATTGCTTTGGCATATGTACCGTCAAGATTTGTAAAGAGGATACCAAAAGGATACCAACTGATCAATCAACATGGCAATTCTTACGTTCTTATGCAATGTGCTATCTATTTAGAAACTGCAGCCAAGTTAAGTTTCACTGCCTATGGCTAACAATCAACAGTTACTTTTAAACCAGTCTTCTTAAAGAAGAGAGATTTATGCCACAATACAATCAACACGGTGCTGTAAACTCCAACAGTTATTGAATCTTTGTCAGTTAAGACCCATATTTGTCAAGGCTGATTAAAGCTCTTCCAAATTCTGTGAGAACAAGTTGCTACATAGAAGAGGGAGACCCAAGCTGGTGCTGTAATTCTTATAGCAAAATAAAATGTCCAATGGTAGAAAACAAAAAGATGGTATCAAGTGGAGTAGAAGTTATAAAAAGATTTTAAATAGAGCCATGTAAGAGCATTTGTGGTGGTTCACACTAAAGGTCCATCCAATCTCCAGAAGTGGTTGGAATTTGTTTAACAGCAGTGGCACCTAAAGTAGGCCAAGTAGCAGTAAACACTGTTAACCTTAAGCAGCAGTATGGCTTGCTTAGCTATTTCAATTAACACTTATTTACTAGCACATATAAACTAAATCACTTCATATTACATAGAGGTATAAATGAAAGCTCCCAAGGCTCCACATCTTGCTTGCATGTATCTAGCTCTACCACTGCAAACCTAGCCTAGGATAAAGCGCTCATGAAGCACTACAGCCTTCACTTTCAAACTGTAGCAAGATCAGTATTGAGGACTACATAGAGGTTTGCACAAAGCAAGACTAAAATTCAGAGGAAACCACCACTGCACAACACAAGAGCATTTCCTTTCTATTTAAGATTACAGTTTCAAAAAAAAAAAAAACAAACAAGTGTTCACACATTATTTGATTTCTTACAAAAGCCAAATCCTCTTCCAAAAACTTTTATAAGATGCAACAATTTGACTCCAGTCTGTCTTGTAGGCACATGCACTAAATTCCTCTCAGGACCCCTGTCAAATCACTTCAGTGATTAATAGGAGTGGGATATTTACTTTTAATCCAAGGCACCTTCATAAAGACCATATAACTGGTATTCTGCTTTACGAATGTGAACCAAGGCATATCCAAGTTTCAAATAAATTTCACTTTTGCTGCCTTCTGCATAATGAACAGCATCAAAGACAACAGAAACACACAGATATCACCTTCTGACTGTCAAAGCAGGAAAGCAAATAAAATCCCTTACAGTGGATTTGAAGGCACCATCAAGATTCCTGCAGTATAACTTAGTAGCAATTTCAAAAGGTTTTAAGAAAGAGTTTATAAACCAGCTTAAAAACGTAGCTCTTGGAAAGTCTGCTGAGCATCTTAAAGATGGTCTAGCTATTAAAAGACGGACTGTAATGTTTTACTGTCTTAACTCTCTATTACATACAGAATGTGATTGATTTCTACAGTATTCTTCTAGCCCGTTTTTTGGGCTCAGCATTTTTGTATCTTTTTTCTTCTCTCCCTCACTGAGACTCTTTCTCTTTCCGATTCCCATAGTTCCTCCTCTACTTTCCATCTCCACCTTTCTCTGGACTTTCATAATCAGAACCCATCACAAAGGTGTCAAAATGGAAGCAATGGCACCTGTGAACAAAGGAGAGGCCATTTCTCCTCTCAGCTAGCAAATACTTTTTCTTCAGACCAAAGAGAACCTACTACATGTTCTAGTATGTGACCATGCTCTTTTATGCGGAATTGGTTAAACATGCATATTCCTAGATGATGGGGCATTTACCTGCCCCCTCCTCTTCTCTGAGGGAGGAAAGCAGGACAGATCAGATCTCAACATAAAAGTTCAACAGAGGTTAGACCTCTTCACCATTTGGTTCTGCACTAAAGCAGTGTCTTACACTTTTCCTCTCCCCGCCACCAACCAGATAGACCATCAACCCCTAACTGGGGGCTTCCCTGCTGAACTGGTTTTGCTTTTTATATAAAATACTTTAAAACTTTAATGAAGAGCAACAGCAGCTTCTGTAAGTAAGCATCTGTTAGGAAGCACAGGGGTGACTAAGAGCACGAACAGAAGAAAACATAAATCAAGGACTAAACATAAGGCTCATAAGTTTTACATTTTTCTCTCCTTGCAAAGACTTTACTTATCACCCGGTAGAAATGACCCAAGTCAGCTGAAATAAAGGGCCTGATGTTAAAAGGATATAATTTGGAGGAAGGAAGTTCCAGCTTAAGACCTGGTTGGCTAGTGCAAGATAACGCTGAAACACTGAAGACATCTGAGCATTGAGGTTTTCACGTCTGCTGAATTCCTGAAGTACCTCTACTGTGAGCATGAAGATCTGCCGCAGATCGTCCTCCTATAGTCAGGAGGAACACAATGTATTAACAGAGTCTCTTAGTCATTAATTAAAACATTGATTAAAAAGAAATACTTTTCTGAAGAGAGAAGAATTTTCTGTTTTCACCCTGTTATTCATTAAAATACAGAAAATATTCTGAAGTTGTCAGACTCTCCCCTTTGCCAAAATTAATAGATTCTGTTTGTAAAGAACAAGTAAAAAAATTAATCTTCTCATAAATGTTATTCATTAAAAGAAAAACTTAACAGTATGTTTTTAACAACTGGTGGAGGAGAGGGTTGGTCTTTGGCATGAAAAAAAGTTGTAAAGTTGTTCCGCAATAGTCAGTTTAAAGCAATGCCTTCACAAAAACATTTCTGCCTGGCCAAACAATACATCTGAGACAACCAGACTACACCATCTGCAATAATATTTTTAAATACATAGCTCTCCTTGGCTTTAAACCAAAGCTATATTTAAGACTATCATTGTTCCACAGAGTATTCGTTTTGTTTGCAATTGGTAGCCAAGGAATTAAAGAGTCCAACCACAAAGATCTGTAGCTCTACATTCACAAAATGGGCAAAAAGGGATTGCAACTTTTTGATACAAGTTTTTAAAAAATACATTATCAACTTCCCTGAAGTAGCCCGTACCTGCATTTATAATATAACATTGTCCTATTAAATGCTGCTAGGCACACACTGTACCTGAATGCACCTGGCACAAGAGAGTACTTCGGCTTCTCAATGCTTAAATTTCAGAAAGATAGGTAGCATATATTGATATAGAACTAGTTTACCTGAAATATACGTTTACAGTTACCATGGAACTCCATGCTTAGTCCAATGTTGCTGGTTTTACTTGAACTTGAGAACTCGCTCAACAACGCCGTTAAAATGGAACAGGCCAAAGTTTGCTATAAAAAAAATAAGGGGGAATAATATAACTAAAAGACGTCCAATAACGTAAGACCACCTACATTGTCCTTGAATTTTTTTTATTAGCATTTTTCTATGATTATTACTTCAATTTTTTCTAACACAAACCAGAACAAGTCAAACTTTCAGGAGTATAGATCCTTGGGTGAACCATCTCTGGAATCATCAAGGCTCCATCCTTACAAAAGAAATGCAAGTATTTGAGCACTATAAAAGCTAGCACCTGTGCGATCATCACTACAAAATGGAAACAAACTTATTGCCATCCATTTCCCCGCCCTGCTGTGTACTTTCTCTCCCTGTGCACAAGGCTTTACAGGTGCTAGTTTCAGGGAAGATTCAGCTTCCACTTATTTCTATCGACCTAATAGCTCAGGTCACTCTGAAGTTTGTTTTGGCCCTTCTTTGCCTTTGCTACACTTACCGTGTTGGTATTTGATCATGATTAAATTTATACCACCGAAAGTGATAAAAGCTAGTCAAAAACGACACCTGCAATACACCATCTACTACATCTTTTTCCTCTGCCCCCACCCAAAAAAAAAAAGGAGAGGAATATGCAGAAAGCTCTCATGCTTTAAAGCTTTTTGATACTTCCCTCCGAAGCACAACATCCACAAGTCTCAGAAATAACCTTTGAAACTATTCTACTAGAACAATAGCTCTGAAGCAATATAAAAATTGGTGAGAAAAAGGCACGTTAATTTTAGAGACAGATCCATGAAGACTGAAGGTTTAAGTATCTTTTTCATTCTCAGAATTTAAGGTAAGGTAAACCAAACGCTTATCCTAAAATATAACTTAAAAGCTAACTTTCCTTTATGAAACACACTGCTCCAGCCTTTGTGCTGTTTTTTGAAATGCAAAAAAAGCTTTTTTTCCTGATGCCAAAGTCCAGTAACCATCATCACCAGTTTTAATATTTTTTTTAACTGATAATTACACACAAAGGGGAGTAAATATTGTATAGTGGAGATGCAAGCAGTACTTCAGCAGTGTGCCATACACTACTGCACCAAGCACAACAGAAACTGTACACCAAGGAACTGAAAACACTTTTTGTTAAAGAGATGTTCTTAACAAAAAACTTCAAAACTACTGGCCATCCTCCCAGACTGTTTGGAGCCAAGGTGCCAGGGATGGACAGAGGGATAGGAATTGTTAAAGGGTCATGCATGCCAGCAAGTGTCCAGGGGTTAAACAGAAATATGCACACTACCTCTGAACACCCGAAAGATTAAAGTGGAGATGATACTATTTATGCAAGCTCACACAACAGCTGAGACCAGTGCCATCCACCCACCAACTGCAACATCTTTGTTCAGAAATGCCTCTGAAGTCAGTACCTTGACCCTCCAGACAACTAGTTATCTTACCCAGTATACACTAAATTAACATTCTTCCTTGCTAAATAAGTCCCAGACAGATCAAACATAACGGCTTCGTGATAATATATGGGCTTTCTCTTCTACTATATAATAAAGCTGTACAGTGGACCAGCATATTGTTGATCAGTTGCTAAATCCAAGCTTTCCCATTTTAAAGCAATAACTACTTATTTCAAGTGAACTATTTCTCATCTACAATCGCCACTATCACATGTCCTGTCTGATAAAAGTGATGTCTAGCCAGTGAAAAACAGCATCACACTTTAAACTACTCCAGTGAAAGTGCAATTTTGTCAGTTCTACACTAGACTTTGAGCTAATTAGAAATATTTCTAACATTTCAGTATGTTATTTCCAAATTTCTGTGTAAGCTATTTACACAACAAATATTTTTTTATTTAGAGGAAATCCAGATTTGATCCAATATAAAAGAATTTATGTAGGCTGAGTTTTAAATCCAACATTAGAAGTTCCATATGAAAAGAATTCATCTGGGTGAAAAAAAATATCCAAACTAAAAAAACAAACACACCCACCACAAACCCCAAATCCTGGCTTTAGAACAATGCTTCAGATAAGAATACATGTTTTTAAAGGGATAACACTAAGTTGCCAGAGAACACTGCCCAATTTCATTAAGTGCCAGGGGATGCAGAAGTCTCACAAGACTCTCTAAGTACTTTTAAATGCAGGTTTTTATTTGATGCTTGAATTACTGACACAGTGATACTTTTCAGCTCAGAAAAACCATAACGTAAGGAGATAATTAGTTGCAGTTACAAATCTGTACAGTTTGATGCTCTATAACCTACTGTGATTACCATGTAGTATTAACGACTACAGCAGTACAACAGCCTGGCTAAAGCTAAGCTACTGCTGCTTCATCATGCAAAGATCTTCACACCACGCCACCACCCAGACCACCGCAGGACAAGCAGGACAGCGATGCAGACTACCCATCACTTCCAGCTGGCTGCCAATTACTGGAAAATAAATCACTAAGTTCGAATAACAGGTAAAGAGCAATAGGAAAAATGCCCATTTGTTCCCACTGTGATTACAAATAATTAATATTAGCTGAAATAATAGATATTTTCTCCTTCCATTTTCTCTAGTTTGTTTATACGATATATAATAATTTATCCTTTCTGTTTGGATAGTAATGAGCTATTGCATGATAAAAGCATGTTCTGAATTTTTTTTCTGTGCTTTTCTCCTGATTTCAAGGAGAAATTTAAAAGGAAGCTTAAATTTTATGATTGATGGTAAAGAAATCTCTTCAAAGACATAAAGAGCAATGGATGCAAGCTAGGATGACTGAATCTGCTAAGAGCCTGATAAAGCAGCTCAAGCTGCTTGAGCTTGTCCCCCTGATTTCAGTAAGAGCTGTTTCAGGTAGTTCTGACATCAATACCTACTTCGAGCATGAAAGGAGAAGTGTGATGTTACTAGAGATTTACACGCCTTATTCCCTCCACCGGCCTCGCTCACAGCGGACACCAGGGCACACTGCAGCCCTCCGCTCTCCTCCCTCCCACTGAATTCCCAGCGTCCCACCATCTCCTTCACCTTGGTATTATTTCAATACCTGGGCTACAAATCCTGCCCCGTTCCCTCAGCATCCCAAGGGCGCTGTGTGCGTTACAGGCACATCCATGCCCTCCGGTCATTATCTGCATTTTGCGCTTATCCCTGGCATCCATGAGGAACTGTTGCTGTATATCCAGGTCACCATAGCAGGAGAAGACCACAGATAAGATATTGGCCAGTAATTTAAAATTTACTGCAACAACAGGCTGAGAGGAGATTGCTTGAGATTGGTTTCCTAGAAGGCAGGTGCCAACCCCCAGGAGTTTAGCTTACAGACAAGGGCAGAGGAACAGATCGAGACCTGTAACCTGTCCTTGCAATGTCAGGCATTTGCACAGAGCTGCACACAAAACCACCACTGCTTCCCAAACCTGCCATAAGACTTCAGGAATTTATATAGATTGTTGTGCATGGCAGTGAGATTGCCATTTTCATATTAATAGCAACAAACTAGTTAGCTTAAAAGAACATGTGCCCTGCCATCTATGGAACTCTTCTGAACAGACAGCCAGAAACACTTCAGAAAGTCTGGAAGAAAGCTTAAGTAATCTTTACTAAAAGTAAAATTTCACTTTATGAAAAGTAACTTTACTGAACTACTAATATTTTGAAATACATTTCTTTAATTTACATGTATGTTTGGTATGAAGACACTAAGTACCTCAACACAAATGCAGGCTATTAGAAGAAAGATTTCAAAAAATCCGAAAACCAAGATAATTTCAGATAAACCAATACAGTTGTGGTCTGAAAAATAGAATTACTGTCTCTTACACATAATAAAACTGAATGCACTTCATACATGTAAAGTTCTAGGGTGAAGGGCTTTTTTTGTTGTTTTGTAGTGGTGGGGTTTCGTTTGTTTGTTTTTGGGTTTTTTTGTTTGTTGTGGTTGTTTTTTTTTTTTTTTTAAAGGTTTTTGCCATGCCACAGAAGAGATTAACAACCCAATTTAGTAATATCATACAGTAATAAGTAGAAAATGCATGTGACTGGGCATCATATTAAAGTCAGATCTGAATGTCCGTTGTGCAGTAATGCCATTAACTTCATACCAGTAAGAGTACACCTCTGAACCTAGTTTGACTCACTCGCCAGCAATTTCACTAGTTCTGCCACAAGTACATACCCAAACAATAACCCCATCTAACAAAATAAAATACTTCTCTTGTTGAGAGCAGACTGCCTCTGAGAATAGCTTGGCACTCACCCCAGTTAGCTTTATTACCAGGAATAAACTTTATGAAAGATCGCTATACATAAAGTAGACTCTCAGCTGCTCAAACAGAAGATCAATGGGACTTGTGATAAGAGATTAACTTGGCAATCAGACACCCAGTAGTAACATCGTTTTAGTGGTTTTCTTTTTAAATTACTCTTACTAAAACACAGACACTACAGAAAGACCATGCATCATTTTAACAGTAAACAACATTTATATATCATTCATAAAACTCAGACGCAGAAGGTAAATGCAACGTATTCCTTCCAATGGAATGTCCCCTATAACAAAAGTTAAAGCAATAATGTTTGAAGGGATTTCACACTTGTGCCTGGACAGCCCATGGAATAAGTGAACTGCTTCATTTGAGGGTAGTTAGGTTACAAAGCATCCGAAAGGAAGAAGAGTTCAAACACAGCTTAGGAAAAAATGGACATGTGCTACACCAGCTCCGAGGCAGAAAAGCCAACAGACAAAGCAGAACAAACTACAACAACTACAACACCAAAAATGTTTCCTCTGTTCTGAAATTCAGAGCAGAGATACAGCTACATTGTCAGAGGTTTAAATCATTCATTTTACTACAAAAACTAAACTATCATGCAACACCCCCCCTGCCTTCTGCAAGTGTCATTTATACCTACAGAAAAATGTGTAAGTATATTTAAAAGAATAAAGGTCTTACCTAAACTGAGCAAATCATAACATCTGCCCTGTTCCATTAGATCACTGCCAGCCTGCATATGCATTTAGAGGACTTTTTGTCTCCATCCATATAATGTAAACTGTTACTGAAACCAAAGGGAAGCCACAAGAATCACTTAATAATATCCCTAAACCAGCTAATTTGAACCCGCACAAGCGCAGGAAGAATCAAAGAGTAAATCTATCAGAAGTAGAATTTGCTGTGCTGCTCCTAGGTGATAAAATTCTGTAATGAGAACATGTCAAAAGCAGTTTTACCAAATAAAATGTTTAAAGCAAGGCTTCCTTTAATAAAGGCAGTAATATACTCCTTCCCTAACTTCCTTGAATAAGCACAGCTGTATTTGCTAACATTTTCAGAGTATCCAAATCTCCAGAATGTAAGCTGCAACTCCAAACGGAAGGGTTAACAGGATGGCCACAGGACCAACAGAAATACCATTATGTACACAGAGTAACTGGGGCCACTCCAGCTTTTCATCTTACGAGCATTGCAATGGTGGTGGTGGTGGGGGGGGAACCCAGGAGCTGAAGTAGTAGTTCCCAACCAAAGAAAACCAGAATATACTCTGAAGAAATACAAGAAAGCACCAGGAAGAACCCACTGGATTTCATCTGTTTGTTCCTTCCCAAATGAGCCAACTGGTGGAAAAAAGCTGTAGAGCAGGGACAGGATGATAGGAATAGGATCCACAGCTGCAGTTTTGTGCTGTCAGCAGTAAGGGACTGGCTGGGCAGCACACCCCTTCTGCCCGTTCCCCCTCTGCCACTGTGCAAAGACAGGGGAGCAGCACCAGGTTAACGCACCACACCTACAGTGGCCAAGACCCTGCTTCCCTTCCTTGGCGAGAACCAGGCAAGGGAAACCCCCAAGGTTGAGCTGAGAAAGAGAAAACCAATTCCTCTGCGAATCACTGGAGGCCACAGGTAGATGATTTTGTGGCATGTGAAGCATGCAGGCTTTGGCCAAAGAGAGAAGGGAAGTAGCAGCCTCTACTAATAATGGAAGAGGTCCAGGCAGAGTTTGCTGGAGCACAGGGTGCAAAACATACTTTTCTGTTTCTCTGGGGACTGGTGAAGTTGTGAAACAGGAATCAGTAGCAGAAAAAAAAAAAAGTAATCTCATCAAAAAAAGTGAAGGTCTGAAAAACATTTATCTGGAGGTACCATATCCTTCTCCAGGTTCTTGTCTGAAAGGCACCAGTTGAATCTTCACTCCTACGGTGGTTGCATGAACAAATCCAAGACTTTCAATTAAATTCAAAATAATGACTAGAAAGACTAGCCATGCAGCTCGCAATCAGTATGACCCAGCTTTAAATACACATCATGCTGGCAAGTGCTATTTGATGGGCAGGCGTCCCTCTGCTCTCACTTTTCCCAGTCCTCATCCCTGGTCCTTCTTGCCCGCCTCTACCTGCCATACTGCCAGATATGCCAAACGAGCTGTGTTACATGGCCGTGCTCCACAGCAGATCTGCTTGAAGGAAAAAAACCACAAAAGCAGTTAGGAGGGAGAAGGCTGATTATTTTTAAGTAGTGTCCCACACAGATCCAGTTTATTACTGAACACATACATTCAGAAGGGCAGTACCTCTGAGAGGAAGAGGCACTGAAGACCGAGCAGTCAGGGTCAATAAACTTCTTAAAGGGGCTTTTCCCCTCAAGCCTGTTTATTTCTGTGTCACCACAGTGATAAAAGAAATATAGGTGTAACACATGGAAAGGCATCACTTCTTCCTTTCCAGTGAGCCTCTGGGGTCTACAGGTGAGGGCCTCCACACCTGCACATCTCATGAGATGGCAGAATTGAGGAAACAAGGAGTCCTGGATGCCATACATAGAACAGGGGCCCACATCTCTCCTCTGGATCACATCTCCTCACTTCCCAGCCCTGTCTTTGAAACTGTAGCTCTACTGTTAATTACAATAGTGGGAGCTATCAATTTCTCATATTAAAATTATTAAGTAACTAAGCTGGAGTCCTGCTGTCCTGCATCTCCAGTAAAGCAGGCTCTCCTTCAAAAGAAAAATCTGAAAACTTTAAAAGGCACCCTGGTTAATACAACTACTAAAACCCAACTATTTACATTTTAAAGTTCTCTTACATTTCTATTATGGAGTTTTAACCTCATATTTGGAGTAGTTTCTGGATCCTTAAAATTCCCAAGCCAATCTTTAACACACTGACTTAGGCCTTTATAGAGCACTTGTCAGCATGAAGGAAACAGCTTAAATATCCTGGTTTACCATCTGTTTTTTACAGTCAACGTGTCTCCAGGGCAGTAAGGTTCATAGGACAAGGTAATAATTTTATTAGACTAGAAGATATGGCTGAGGCGGGGGGGGGGGGGGGAATAACATACACATTTTTGTCAAAATGTAAAAGTCATGAAAGCCTCTCCCAACTCCTACCGTACCACCTAAGACAACAACAGCTTGTCAGCCATCCAGGAGTAAAATTCCTCTTAAAGAACAGAAATAAGAACGATAAATGCTAAATAAATGTAACTAGTCATCTATGCAGCCATTATTATTGATGGATTAATTTCAATGAAGACGAATGCCTAGAGTTCTGCTTATTAATATTTCCTACTCTGGAAGTGAAATCCATCCACAGCACATTCCTCAGCAGTTTTAGGTAGCCTGAAGCATCTGAATCTCTTCTCTAGCCCAATCATGAACATTGGGAAACAGACCAAGAGATTTACAGATTTTAAGAGAGAAGGAACTGTTAGGATCCCAGAGCTCTCCTAGTAAGTCCTCACAAGTCTTCTTGCATATCGAGAAAAATTTAGGCTTCAGGTATGGAGCTTTCTATTAGAATATGTTCTACTGTATGCATTGTAGATCTTAAAAAAACCACAGCTCCTTTGCTTCCCCATCCTGTGTCAGGTCTACAGCAGTTGGACCGCTCTGCATCTGCCTACAAATATTCTGGAAGAAATCGAGCTGTGACCCATATCCCAGTCCAGTTTTAAACAAAGTCCATCTGGTGGTGTTCATATGCAGACCAGTTCCTCCTTCTGGGAATCAGTCACCT